TGGAGGCAACGCCTATAGTGCACTACATCTTGACCAAAGTCATACATTTTAAACCTTTAGAAGTTCTGTCTTAAGGAAAAGGAGAACAAATTACATGTTTTAATGAAAAAGTAATATTATCAGAGGTCTTCTGAATGCCTCCCTTGGTACTACTGGCATTTCTGCTTGTTCTATAATGAATTTGATTAACTGATAGATCGACAAAAGGTCAGGTGTCCTCCACACAGTCACAGAGGAAACACCATCAGAGAAATCTTGTAAGTACCATGGCAAACATATAGAGATGATTTTATAAGAAGGCTTATTTGTTTGCTGTCCTGTTCAGTGAAGGTCAACAAATACCTTGTCTTGAAGGGCCGAGTGAAGTAGCCTGTAGCAAAACTCACAGAGCTGTCAAAAAAGGAGAGTCTGCATTTTAAAGTACAGTGATTCAATATGACATTCAAAATAACAGATAATGGGGAGTTACACAGCCTGGAAGCTTTCATCTGAATCAGATTTCACTTCTTTTCGGTACTTCAGTGAGGTGCCAAGAGCCAGGACATGGGCAGTAACAGATGCAGCACAGACACAGATGCCTGGCAAGGGTCTCCTGGAATTCAGGCTGCCAGGGACAACTGTGGTGGTGCAGGAAAGACCAGATTGCATTCAGCTTGCGATGCTCTCAGTTCCAACTAAGAAACTGGTACTTATGATATTGCATCCAGCTTCAAACCTAGCCACCGTGCTGTTAATCAGTGGTTGCATCCTAGTGAACAGGAGAGGAAGGGGGAGAAGCCGCAATCAACCTCCCAGCAAAATATGGAAAATATCTTGCAGACCCAGAGGCTTAATTTGGAAGAAACAGTAATCTCCAAACTTTTGTGGACATGAACACAACTAACCTTGAACAAGTGTGTCACATCCCAGCAGTTTTCATGCCATTTACTGAAACAGAAGAGAGCAGCTGGGATGATCTCTTTCGTCTTTTAAATTTAGAACTGGAGACTTTTTTCTCAGTGTGTTAATTACTCAGTTACTTCTCATTCAGAAGTAACTGAACATCCATTTCTTGTTTCTCCAATAATCACTAATCCAATTCCTAGTTCTTAAAAATTAAATAACAGATAAAACTGAGATGTTGCTTTGTCAGCAAAATATTTATATGAAAGTTTTCAGTTTCTGGCCATAAAAGAGGAGATACAGGAGCTAGGCGATTTTGATTAAAACCTGGTGAAAGTAGTTTGGACTTTGGGACTTCTATTAGACTGTCTGGTCAAAAAGGATGATGTGATGAGAGAAATTTTTGTTGTTAGATCAAGTTAAGCTCTTTTTGCACTGCCAGAGTCTTAGACCATGAATGTGGTTTCAGTTCTGTCAGCTTTGCCCTAGTGTTACTCTGTTGACTTGACTGGCATAATTTCTGATTTACATTATCATAAGTGAGACCAAGAATCACTTTCTTTGCCTCCAGGAAACAGAATAGCCATTAAAGAAAATATAGAACTATACTTGTTAAAACTACACAGCAGGTTTTTTTGAATACAGGAAAACATAACAGGTTTCTGCAGGTGTTTCTGAAGACTTAGCAAAGTATTCTTTGTCACACACTCAGATGTAATGGTCTTAATCACAGTGTATGGCTCTCCTAGCTGCCACAGGACATTTAATATGTTCAAAAAGGTGTCTCTGTTCCTTTGTAAAAGACAAACTTGCTTTTACAGCCATTACCCATAATGCAGTGGGAGAACAGCATTAATAACCATTTGATCGGGGGTGCAGAAATCTTTTGCATGTCTCCAAGGAAGAAGCAACTTTTTCTTCCATAAGTGGCCAAAGTGTTACCTTTGGAAGCTTTCCCTCTTAGGATCAAAATGCTTTCTTGCACTCATAACCTGCACTAACTAATTGTTCTCCAGGGGAGCAAAAATGGGTTTGTGGGTTGGTTTTGGCTTGTAATTGTTTCTGGCTTTGTTTGAACATTCAAAGGCTGTAGGTACGCACAGTACTCAAACAGGGAAAATGGCAGCCGTAGGTATTTAATGGGAAACTATGAAGTCTCAAGGAAAATCTCAAGAAGGATCATATAAAAGCGCCCTAGAACTGTATGCAGAGTTGGAAAGGGTTGGGTATGCTCCTCCCATACACATGTGCAGCTGCCCTGCCCTGAACTCTGTGAAGAACTGCATGATGACACAAAAAAGTTTTGCTGGTCCTACAAAACCTTTGGAAATGATCAGCCTGTGAAAAAAAGTGGGGTTTTGTTACAGAAAATGAAGTGGTCTAGTAAAGTGTTTGCACTATGCTGTGAGGCTTTAGTCCATGTACAGAATGTCAGCATATTTATGTCTTTACCTACCTTGATATTGTTAGCTTACTCTCAATTTGCCCAGAGGAAGAAAGGTTCAAAGGTCAGCAATGAGTGGTTTTGAAAAGCCAAGTGGAAACTACATCTCCCACAAACCTGGACAGAGGAATCACTGTTCATGCCATTTTTAAATACTTCCCACATTGTCTTACAGTTTCTTTTGCTCATTCTTCTACCCCTTTCCCTGTAAGAATTTTGATTCTTCTTTATGAAAAAGACTTGGCTGATGCTTATAATTTATTTTTTAAATGTACTTTGTTCTCAGACAAAGTTTTATGGAATTATTACTATAACAATGCATCATGTGCATTATCTTCAACACTAACCTCAAGGCAGCTTACCTCTCATTGGGAAATGAAGTAGCTTGGCATGAGCAAAAATCAGGTCACTTGGTCTAAATGCCCAATTATGGGCTTTAGCACTTAGCTTTTGGATCCAAATTTTGGCCTATAAATGGTGAACAAATCCTAGATTTAATTAGTAGCAACTTCAATTAGAGGCCATAGTATCAGTTTTACTTACGTGCAGCTCCATCAGAAAAGACACTCCTGACTCACAGTAGTACAAAGGCTACAGAGTTCAGTGGTGTGTCTGTACACTATAAATCAGAGAGATGTTCCAGATAACCAGGTCTCAGAGCAGTGGACTCACACAGCCACATACAAGCTTTAGGTTGCCAATGTGCTTGTGAGTAGGCAATGTGCCTCTGAGTAGGCAAAGTATAAAGTACAGGCAATAATTCATATGGTTCCTAGCCCAGATCAACTGAAATACTGCTAATCATTAGGCTTTGGTTCCTATCTGAATATTCCTTTAAAAGCCTGTTTTTTAATTTTTCCTTTTTCTTTTTGTTTTTCAGTAGTTTCAATGCAGCAGCTGTAAGACTGGAAAACAGGACTTCTGAGGTTTTTTTCCTAGTTCTTTCACTGCTTTACTCTTGCCTCTACTTACTCTCTTGAACTAAAACCGGGACTTAGATTTAGTCATGGGCAACTACAGTTAGGAATTTCTGTAAGTTGTCTGATTTACTGAGACTTGTTCTACAGTTCTCAGTTCATGTCAAACTCAGTGGCCAGCCAAGCTGAGAAAATCTGGCTTTGTCTCAGTTTCTTAATCTTTTAGATGACAACGTGGGGCCTCATCTACCTTTCAAGAAACTTTGAGACTTCTTAATTGTTAGCAATATACTCTGTCTGCGATTAAAAGTGTGTGTTCCCTAGATATTTTTTGCTGAGGAAATGGAGGAATATATGGAGGAAATGAGGAAATGTTTCAGTGAGGTCAAAGATATCCAGCATGTTCTGCAGATTGTCAAGGTTGAATAGTGAGACTGCATTATGCAGCATGCACAGACAGTTCTGTAAACCATGTTCCTATTTAAAAACAATCAAGTGGAACACACTTTTTCATGTTGCAGCTAGGATCATATTCCAGCAGTGGGAAGGAAAAACTAAAAGACTTAATTCAGCTTTCACCATGCTGGAGATTTTCTCTGGCTCCACCTCTGCCCCGTCCTCTGTCCTCATTCCCAGTGTTTTTGAACTCTGCCTGCAATGCATTTCATTGCTTGCCAAGATATCCCCAACTAAGGGTGAGTTAATGAGAACATCTGGACAGGAACGAGTGATGCTGCTGCTCTGTGACCCACCTACTCAGCACATCTGGTGGTCATGACCATGGATAGGGAACCTTACCAAGTGTTAAGGCTTCTGTGAGGAAAGAGGATTTTGCCATCTATGGCTGGATTTATTGAAAGTGCCCAAATCCAATTGATTATATAAAGGGGCTTTCATGTCAGTTGAAGAAATGTCTATAAATAGGTGCGTGCATGCGCTCACACACACATGCATATATACTTCTTAATATAACTACAGTGTACTGTCAATGAGTAAGAATGTGGACTGCCTAAAAATTGTCTTTATAGATAATTAGTCCCAAAGATCCTAAACTGGTTAACCATCAGGGCATATTGCAAAAGACCTCTCTTTGGTAAGGGCTTTTTGAAGGGGCTGAATGTACATTCTCTCTAAAGGGAGGAGAGGATGAAAAGAGTTTATGTGCTTGGTTGGCAGAGTTCCTTTTTGAAATTATTATTTTAAAACTGCTGGATTGTTTTTGTCCTTCTAATGATGAATTAAGGTGTTCAGACACTTTTGCGATCACCTTTTTATATTATTTATATATAAATCAATAAATACCGATGCTCTGCTCCTGTTTTCCTTTGCTAGTAAAAAAAAAAAAAGAAGATGGATCTTTCAGGCAGCACAATGAATCAGCAATGAATTGAAAACACTGGGCAAAATCTCTTTTGTTTAAGAGAATGGCCTGTACACAGTTCAGGCCAGCACATTTTTCATGAGATGCAAGGGAGCCGTTCAAAGAATTGGCAAACAGTGGGTCCTGCATAGTCATGAGGCTGGGGAAGGAGGTGAAGGTACAGGAGAAGGCAAAAAAGCAATATCAGGATAGGGTGGAATGTGGAGCAAGTTATCACGGTATCTTGTTTGATGTAAAGCTCCTTTGCTTTTACACAACTGCTGGAGTTGAATGGAAGCAGCTCAAGGCATAAATAATGAATGTGTCTTTTACACATTAAGAGAGGAGAATATTCACCTCATCACAGAGATAATGTGTCCCTCTCTTCTGTCCCCAGTCTCCAACCTGCATTCCAGAAGTCAGTCAAGATCTTATCCAACAGACAGAGGAGAAACTCAAAAACAGCCCCTGCAAAGAGCTATTCTCTCCCTGTACAAAGTAAGTATAACTCGATACCTGAAGATTGCAGGGCTGCTTGTAAAGAATGTGTTAGGTAAAGAGAGACATTTCAAGTTGAACCTGAAGGATGTATCTTGGGTTTATATTCATAATCCTAGAGGCATTGCTGACAAGCGGTGAAGTCATTTAATCAGAACAAAATATAATAAATATTTCCATGCCATTATATACACTACACACAGGCACTTAGTGTTTCAGGTATTTGACAGAGTGTTCTAGCCAAGTCAACCAGCCATGGATTTCATGCTGTGTGAAAAAAGCTACAATGATAATGTATCCAAAGAAAACATCTCTGTTTCAAAGTGAATAAAAATTAAGTGGCTATAGAGTCCATTTAGACAGAGGAATGTGCAAACTCGCTCCACGTGGCTTTTCCAGAAAATCTTCACCAGGAGAATAGGGCTTTTTTAATGGTTTCTGTCTGTCTGTGGCATTTGAACAAATGTGCATTATTTCATCCTTCGTCTGGGAAAAGGCTTATCAGTTTTTGTAGCAGTGAGGCGATTTGTACTATTATACCCTAAAGCTCCAGGTATGCAATCTGCATTTGCAAACACTGACCTGAGTACATTCATGCCAGTAGATCATAAACCAATAAAAATATGAAAAAGAGGGATCATCACAAGCTGGCCCATGTGGTTTCTGGCTGAGCACGATTTGTTTTCCCTGGATGAAGTCATGGGGATTTGTAAAATTCGCTCCGCTGTCATTCATTGTTTTGACTCATTTCATTGACCTTTTCTGTTTTCAGTTATTCTTTGCATTGGTAGGAGATGTGGGTTATTTCTGGCCTTCTCTTATAACATAGCCAGTTTCCTTGCATTGGCCTGGTGTCACAGAGAGATGCTCACATAACTCGCACCAGTTGTGTGTGCCAGTCCCAATGACAAAGGCAGGGCTGTGCTTGACACAACCCCCTCTGATGCCTGTTTCCAGTTCTCAAATCAGTTTGAAAGCTGACAGTTTCCTCTAAAATGTACTTTGTTGTTGCCAAAGAGGGGAACTAAAAAGCAAACAAGTGGTGAAAAGCAGCTATTGTTCTTTAAAATACATGCAGCTCTTAATTAAATGAATGGAATAGGCTAGCATTGGACACGACTTCATTCAGGCTCGTATTCACCAACAGCCATTCCTTCATCTCAAATGAAATGGATAAATGAGCCAGGTTTGAGACATATGCTGATCATTTCACATGGACTGAAATGGGGTCAAAAGGAAGTTTTAAAAACTTGCTGTTGATATTTACTAAATGTACTGAATAATGTTAATTTTGGAAGAGTTCACAGTCAGACCAAAGAAGGGAGGCATACATACAAATATGAAGCTTGCTGACCTGTAGAAACAGGAATGGGGATGAGATTCAGACATGTCTTCATAGATAAGATCAGTCTGCGGGAAAAATGCATGTATAACACTAACTTCTGCACTGACCTTTAATATTTTGACTGTCTGCTTCTGTCCCCCTCCAATTTCCCCCATAATTTTGGCTTTGAATTTGGACATTTGTTAAAGCTCATTAAGGCTTACTTTCTATTTTGTTTTGTAAGCTTAGGGGAAACCGTATGATCTGTGTCCAATCAAAGCTAATGAAGACAATAACAATTTGACTTCTGCATACTGAATATGTGCAATTACCTGCCTGTTCCAAACTGATGGAGCAAGAATTATTACCAAAAAAATTCAAACAGCTGAGAAATTCCAAAAACTTATGAATAGTAGCTCATGAACAGGGAGGAGCTAAACTGAGGAGACATGTTATCTGTGGTAAATTGTTTGCTCAGATTTGGAACTGCCCCAGAGTAAGACATAGGTTATCCATTCCCAAGCCAGAGTATTCCTTCAGAGAGTGTTTTCTCCTCCAGTAAAATCTAGAAATGTGCCTGTATACCCTTATATAGAGACACAAAAGTGTCTGTATACACCAAAACAGAAATACTCATTTCTTGTGGGCATTCTTCACCCAAAGCCAAGTTTTGTCTGCACCAATGCTGCCAGCAGAGGTGGATGCAGTAGCCCCAGAAAGCAAGGCAAGAACCAAAACCAGCAGGTCAACAACTCCCTGTTAAATGTGGCCACCTTCATCTCAAGCGGCTCTCTCAGCTCCGCCTGTCTTTTCTGCACCCTTGGCTTTCCTTATGGGATGTCTGTTGGTCTGTGGCTGCTTATTGCCTGTCACAAGCAACATACTAATTTCTCACATTTGCAGATTGGCCTTTTTATTCCTTTGAATATGCAAAAGACTGTATCCACTGTGTGAGCCCCAAAATTCTTTTCTTGATCCAGAAACAAATCCACATCCCTGTTCAGACTTTCTTTCCACTGTTTTACTCTACAAAGCACATGGCTGTTAGGAAAAGCCCTTTGACTTACTTATTCTGTATAGCATGATTTGAAATTTATGTTTTTTTCTCAGAATAACACCTCTAATGGTCCCTCTTTGACAGAAATGGGCTTCAGCCAGAAATTTTCAATCCAGTTTTAAACATCCCTCAAAGTTTAGCAGCTTAATTCCTGAGGGTGTTGTGTTAAGCCAGTCTTAGTTTACTAATGGAAGCAAAGATATTTGTTGTCTAGTGACTAACAGCCTTTGTAAATGTCCATTGAAGCCAGTGGGAGATGCCCTGATAATTTTCAGCAAGCATAAACAGTACCTATTACTATTCAGCTTGTATAAGGCCTCCTGTTGTGAAATCCATCAAACATATTACTTTGTTCCTAGATTGAAACCCTGAGTAAAATAAAGTACAAAATAAGTACAAGTAAAATGATCCTACCATAAAAGAAGTCTGTATTTTCTCCTCTTGTTTTGTTTCTCTTTTGCTCCAAATTCAGAATTATAAAATAGTTATATATCCTTTTCATCTGAGATAGATCTGTACTTGACCATCTCAGTGGGGAACCATTCCAAGAGTACCTAAACAGCATGTACTTCGACAGGTTTCTCCAGTGGAAGTGGTTGGAAAGGTAAGTGTCACAATTTTTTTTTTTTAATTAAAAATGAATACTTTCACTTTTCATGCAAAGCCTTTAGAATATGGTCAATATCTGAGATAGTACATATTTTGTCCCTTTGCCTTCAAGCAAAAGACAGTTTGGCATTCTATAGTGTTACTGTGCCTCATCCTCATGTTTGCCATTTATGGCCCTCTTTGTGCAGTGATTCTCTCCCTCTTTTCACTGTTTTCCTTCAAGACGGTCCATCAAGATTCATTCTACATTTCCCTGAGCTGTACTCCAGGGAAGCTCTCCTAAAGAGCTCCGGGAAGGCTTTCCTAATTTTAGCAATTTTTTTGTAAGTGTTCGTTGTTAGAAGGCTCACAAAGAGGTAATGGCTTTAGCCACAGGAAGATGCCATATAGAAAAGTTATAGTTAATGTTGGCATTAGACTCAGTTTAACCATGAGCTCCACCCACAGCTGTGACCATGGAATGAGCATGATTGGCATCTGGGATATATATAGTGCTCCTTCATCGTCCACCCATAAATGTGCTCCAGCTGCTCCCTTCTCCCTTAGGGACACTGCACTCCTAAAGGTGACATGCTCCAGCTTGGCACCTTTTTTGCACAGTATGCTTGTGCATGGCAAGTGAATAAAGCAAGACCTACAGCCCACAAAAAATAGGAATCCAAATCTCCTGCGATCTGAGAAACATCTGTGACCAATTTCATTGTAGGCCTTGTCACAACGAGCTATTCATGGTACAGCTTGAAGGACACATTGCACTTTTTTATCACCTACATCATTTATCACCTCCATCATTCTAGCATCTAGAAAGCTAAACATAAGATACACATCAAGTCTCTGGCTTTTGCATTTGCAAGCACTGTGCCCAAGCAAGACTGAAACAGATGCTGCTCGCTAGGGAAGTAAAGAATAAAAAAAAATCCACCCCAAAACACGGGAGCCAGTTTTGGCTTCTAAAGCTCAAGTGTTTGGCCGTTTAATGGTATTAGGTACATGAGGCATGTAAGGTATGATTAAAGTACATTCAGCAACTTCAGTTGTCTTCTTGTTTAGCTGTGTTTTGAATATGGTGACTTTTTGTCTGGACCAGTTATCACAATTATTAAATCACCGTAAACAGACAAAAATATGTCATATAGGCCCTCACGCCATACTTATTGGCTAGACAGTTCTGAGCACATTTAATAACCAGGCAGCCTTAGTGGGTATTAATTTGCAAGGAAAGGGGCCTTTGCCTTCTACTTGTTGGTGAAGGCTGTAGCAGACGTACACTGCTGGATAACAGTGACCTTGAGTCAAGAAGCCCCAGTTTGCACAAATGGAATTAATTACTGCAGGTGAGTTAGGGCCAGGTCCATGAGTGGTGTGTATCAGCATGGTGCCTCGGAGATCAAAGGAGCTGTGCCAGTTCCTTTCCCTGGAAAGCTACAAAGCTGCTGCACAAGAGGGAAGAGAAGCAGTGGGCAGAGGGAAGAGCCATTTCATGCCAAGACATGCTCCACATGCCATCTTCACTGAATACAGCATTTACTCTTCCATTTAAATTAAAAAACTATCAGATGATTCATCTCTACCCAGGCTATTTCCTATCTATTTTCACATTTGGGATAAGGAAATTTATTAAATGCTTTGAGGATTTTTTTTTCCATTCCACCAAAAAATGTGACAAGCTATTGGATGTGCCTGTCTGGCTTAAGAAGCTAGGAGAACTCTTTTTAGGATTAGCAAAGAAATGTTAGTAGCATGGAGCGATCAGCAGCTCCTTCTGACAACCTGTTGACTCCAACAGAGGAGTCAAACAGTCCATTTATTCCAGGGACATTGCTGAGCATGTGGTTATCACTGCTAATTGTTGCTTTTAACCCCAATAGCATTTGTAGTATCTTCACAGAAGCCTGAAAATAGCATCTTTTCCTCTTCTAGTTTTGGCCTTCTGTGTGTTTTTCTTCCCCCACTTTTAAAAATAATAATGAACATAAATGAAACAATTCACTTTAACATTTATTCCTTATTGTCATCAACCTCATCATCACTGTTGTGGGAACAGCCACATTATTGCGCTCCCTCTGCTGACTGGCTGCTCGCCAGAGGAGAAAAAAGCTGGTAGGAATATTCATATCGACTCCTAATATTATTGTAAAACTTAGGTGATGGAGTGATGGACAAAAAAATCAGATCTTTCTAAATCTAGGGTTCTTCTTCTGTCATGTTATAAAACTTTGATGATAACAAATGTGGTATAAGCATCCTGAGGCACAGGTTATTTTTTCCTCACTCCTTCCAGCGGTGGGCAGAGACATTGGGCGAAACAGGCAGACTCAATCTATTAATACATAGCTCTGACTGGTGTCACCACCACAGTTTTGGGTTCTTTGATCATGGGATGGCCTACATGGCACCAGGCTTGATGACATCAAATGGGTGACCTCAGTGCGGGGAGCAGCTGCATGCGGCAGCTCGGCAGCAGTTTCCCGTGGCCGGCAGGAACAGATGGTGGCCACGCTCCTCTTCTACCTGCCCCTCCTGCCACGGCTGGCCTGCGCCTTCAACCTGGACATGGACAATGTGATCAGCCAATGCAGCGAGCCGGGCAGCCTCTTTGGCTTCTCCCTGGCCATGCACTGGTAGCTGCAGCTGCAGGGGAAACGGCTACTGCTGGTTGGAGGTCCTCGGGAAAAGGCCTTTCCATTCCCACAACCCAACAGAATGGAGGGTTGTACAGCTGTGGCATGGCATCTCCAAGTACACGCTGCATACATGTCATATTTGATGAGGAGACTGACCCAAAGATGGAGAGTAAAGAAGACCAATGGATGGGTGTAACTGTCCAAAACCAGGGGCCAGAAGGAAATGTGGTCACATGAGCACATTGCTATGAGAAAAGGCAATATGTAAACACTGTGCAGGAGACCCGGGATATCACTGGAAGGTGCTATGTGCTGAGCCAGGTTCTCACTATTAAGGATGTTATGGATAATGAAGTGTGGAGTTTTTGTGATGGTCATTTAAGAGGCCATGATAAGTTTGGTTCCTGTCAGCAAGGTGTTGCTGCTACTTTTGCTACAGACTATCATTACATCATGTTTGGTGCTCCAGGCACATACAATTGGAAAGGGGTGGTTCATGCAGAGCAACAGAAACAGACATTTTATGATCTGGGTATCTTTGTGATGGGCCTTACGAAGTTGGTAATGAGAGATGCCAAGATAAGTTCCTGTTCCAGCTAACAGTTACTTAGGTTTCTCTTTGGACTCCGGTAAAGGAATTGTCTCCCAAGATGAGATGACTTTTGTATATAAATTATAAATTTAACCTGCTTTAGCAGTAGGGTTGGACTAGATGATCTCCCGAGGTCCCTTCCAACCCTTACCATTCTGTGATTCTGTGAATGGGAGCCAGCTTTCTCAAAGGGGAAAGAGGGTCTTTGCCCAGGAGCTTGCAGGGCTCATTGACAGGGCTTTAAACTAGATGCAAAGCGGGAGGGGGAACTGCGACAAGCTAAGGGATGACACACAATGGTTAGAGGGATAGGGGGAAGGAAATGTCCATGAAACAACGGGTATTCCACTATGAAGGAAACATGACCAACAGCTTAGATGAAATACCTCTATACAAATGCACGCAGCATGGGAAACAAACAGGAGGAGTTGGAAACTACTGTGCTGCTAGAAAGCTATGACCTGATTGTCATTACTGAAACTTGGTGGGATGAATCCTGTGACTGAAATGTAGCTATTGATGGCTACAGGCTGTTCAGAAGGGACAGGCGAGGAAGGAGGGCCGGAGGTGTTGCCCTTGACATCAAGAAATCATTATGGAGTGAAGAGCTGTCCCTGAAGAATAGCCATGAGCAGGTTGAAAGCTTATGGGTAAGAATCAGAGACAGAGGCAACAAAGGGAACCTAATGGTTGGTGTCTACTACAGGCCACCAGATCAAGAGATGCCCACTGATGAAACATTCTTCCTCCAACTCCAGGACGCTTCGCGCTCGCAGGCTCTTGTCTTCCTGGAGGACTTCAACCACCCTCATATCTGCTGGAAAAGTAACACAGCAAGCTCTAGGCAATCCAGCAGATTCCTGTCCATTGAGGACAACTTCTTAAGCCAGGTAATAGACACCCCTACCTGAGGGGATGCGATACTGGACCTGGTAGTCAACAATGCAAGTGAGCACATCGGAGACATCAAGATCAGAGGCAGCCTGGGGTTTCAGTGGTCATGCACTGGTGGAGCTTACCCTCCTGAGGGAAATGGGAATAGGGAAGAGTGTAGTCAGGACCCTAAATTTTATGAAAGCAAAATTCCAGCTCTTCAAGGAGTTAGTCAGAAGGACTCCCTGGGAAACAGTCCTCAGGGACAGGGGAACAGAACAGATCTTTAAGGATGTGTTCCACAGAGCGCGAGAGCTCTCAGTCCCCAGGTGTAAGAAATCAGGCAAAGAAGGGAAGAAACCAGCATGGCTGAGATGAGAGATGCTGATCAAACTAAGGAGAAAGAGGGAATTGCACAGGCAATGTACAATGCAAGAAGCAGGGACAGGTATCCTGGGAAGGGTATAGGGATGCTGCCCAGTTGTGTAGGGATGGGGTCAGGAAGGCGCAGCTGGAGCTGAACTTGGCAAGGGATGCAAAGAATAACAAGAAGGGCTTCTACAGGTATGTCAGCCAGAAAAGCGTACCCCCGCTGATGAGTGAGACTGGAAAACTGGTAGCAGGAGATGAGGAGAAGGCTGAGGTACTCAACAACTTTTTTGCCTCAGTCTTCACTGGCAATCTCTCTCCTCACCCCTCACGAGTCAACGGACCGCATGAGGGGGGCCAGGAGGGTAAAACCCCTCCCACTGTAAGAGAAGACCGGGTTCGTGACCACCTGAGGAACCTGAACACAAATAAGTCCATGGGACCTGACGAGATGCATCCCAGAGTCCTGAGGGAATTGGCTGATGTAGTCGCCAA